AGAACATCTCAGAGAGGTTCTGAGGTTATCACAAGGGGCTCCAAAGTCACTGGAGGTGTGTAGGAGAACATGGTGACCCCATAGAACATCTCAGAATTGGACTGAGGTTGTCAGGAGGGGTTCCAAAGTCACTGGAGGTCTGTAGGACAGCATGGTGACCCCACAGAACATCTCCAGGAGGTGCTGAGGTTGTCACAAGGGGCTCCAAAGTCACTGGAGGTCTGTAGGACACTGTGGTGACTCCATAAAACATCTCAGAGTTGGACTGAGGACATCATGAGGAGCTTCAAAGTCACTGGACGTCTGTAGGACAGTATGGTGACCCCATAGAACATCTCAGAGAGGTTCTGAGGTTGTCAGGAGGGGCTCCAAAGTCACTGGAGGTCTGTAGGACACTGTGGTGACCCCATAGAACATCTCAGAGTTGGACTGAGGACATCACGAGGAGCTTCAAAGTCACTGGAGGTCTGTAGGAGAACATGGTGACCCCATAGAACATCTCAGAGTTTGACTGAGGTGATTGTGAGGGCCTCCATAGTCACTGGAGGTCTCTAGGACAACGTGGTGACTCCATAAAACATCTCAGAGTTGGACTGAGGACATCATGAGGGGCTTCAAAGTCACTGGAGGTCTGTAGGATAAGGTGGTGACTCCATAGAACATCTCAAAGAGGTTCTGAGGTTATCACAAGGGGTTCCAAAATCACTGGAGGTCTGTAGGACAGCATGGTGACCCTACAGAACATCTCCAGGAGGTGCTGAGGTGATCGCAAGGGGCTCCAAAGTCACTAGAGGTGTGTCGGACACTGTGGTGACTCCATAAAACATCTCAGAGTTGGACTGAGGTGATTGTGAGGGGCTCCAAAGTCACTGGAGGTCTATAGGACACTGTGGTGACTCCATAAAGCATCTCAAAGTTGGTCTGAGGACATCGTGAGGGGCTCCAAAGTCACTGGAGGTCTGTAGGACAACATGGTGACCCCATAGAACATCTCAAAGAGGTTCTGAGGTTGTCACAAGAGGCTCCAAAGTCACTGGAGGTCTGTAGGACACTGTGGGGACACCATAAAACGTCACCATGGGGTCACCTTGGGGACCTTTGGTCACTGTCAGGGTCTGTAGGACAATGTGGGGACACCATAAAACGTCACCATGGGGTCACCATGGAGACCCTTTGGTCACTGCCAGGGTCTGTAGGACAACGTGGGGACACCATAAAATGTCACCATGAGGTCACTTTGAGGACCTTTGGTCACTGTCAGGGTCTGTAGGACAATGTGGGGACACTATAAAACGTCACCATGGGGTCACCATGGAGACCCTTTGGTCATTTCCAGGGTCTGTAGGACAATGTGGGGACACCATAAAACGTCACCATGGGGTCACTTTGA